TATTATGCAATTGTTATTTAAGATTGTTGATAAGTATAATGTGTGTTGATATATTAAAGTAGGAAGTATATCTAGTACAGTCAGGGATATTACCAAAAATGGATAACGGTTCTAGAATGCTTCTGGAATGATCTACCGATAATCCACCAATTTTGATTGGCTCTTGACGGTCTTTCTAGAGCCAAAATTTTTGCATTTTTGTGGTATTCTACTTTACGTTAAACGATATACCTTTACGTTAAACGATATACTAATTCGAAATAAAGAGCCTTTATTTTAATAATCCGTAATAATCCCCCTGTGATCCTTTTTTTTAAAAAAGGTAAATGAGACATAAAAAGTCGCAAGAATATTTGCTTAAATATGAGTAAAACTAACGGTTTAACCCTTTTTTTTCAAAAATACTGACTAAATAACATTCAAGAACAATGTCGCAGTCCTCAACGGCCAATCAAGGATCAAAAGCTAAAGATCTTCCTTGTATATTTCTTGATCTAGTTCGTTATTACAGTGATCAAGGTTTAAACGTTTGTGGTATGCCGAAATCAGAACATTGGAGAAATGCTAATGCACCAGCGGCGGCTAGAAAGCTTGAAGCGTTTCAAGATCTTATACCGGAGCTTAGAGATCAACAATTTTCTCAATTTTCTATTTGTGTAAACCACTATAATCAAGTCATAGCTAATGATAATTTTTATCAACATCTTTTAGATAGTTCTAGTAGAATACCTCAACTTGATGTTAGCTCCAACACTGATGAAGCGGTTGTCGACGATGTATCACGCCATTTATTCGAGTTTGAAAGAGTTGCAGAACATAATAGATATGTAATTACAGAGTTACAACGGCAAGTGCAGAATAAAAACAGGGTAATATCCAGGTTAAATGAACGACTTGAAGAATGCCATAGAATGATCTCTCAATTAGAAGAGTTATATCAAGAACAGTATGAAGCATATCAAAGACAGTATGAAGCATATTAAGAACAGTACGAAGCAAACAGGCAACTAACTGAACAGTGGAATTCTCGTTATGACAATCAGCATAAGCGTATCCAGGCCGTCATCGATATTGCACTAATTGAACGAGAATCGTTATATAATGATGTCGAGGCTCTAATTAGAAATAGTAATA